CCACCCACCCATCCATCCATCCACCCATCCATCCATTCATCACAACCATTCATCACAACCATTCATCCTTCCAGCATCAAGACATTAATGAATGACTCTAATGAGTACAGTAGTTAGTTAGCACCATCATCCTAGTGCATTGTACATGTAGTTTCTGTTCAGTATCGTGATGTATGTGAATGTGTCCCCCCACCCTATTTAGGGAGARAGTTCCTACTAGTTAATAAAGTAGCTTCTTTTTACAGCCGGTCATTATAGATAGCAAATGCAGAATTGTCATTGAATAAAGTAAGTTTTGGTGGATCTCAATCAGGCATTTATATTTACATTTCATAGGCAATTGACCCATCTCAAAATTATCTTGGATGCTAGGGCTAACATGAAAATCTACATCTATATTTTATTTAGTCYGTAAAATCATTAGATATCACAACTTTTTAAAAATCAGGCTTTTCTCAATGKAATTTGTGGCATTTCTTTTGCATTTCCATCTTAGCCYGGCATTCTGTAGATAGTTTGGAGAAGAATCAATGGCTATAGTTATTAGCTTGAAAGCTTTTTCTGGCTAGAATGTCATGAAAAAACTTTCAGTGTCTACCAAAAATATTTTTTGTTGCAATAATTGTACAATCCTGCATGTGCTGTTGGGAAAGACTGTAAGTCAGCAGAAGTTGCATACAATCATGTCGTTAATAATAAATAAATGATAAATAAATAAATGGGAAAATTGGTGGTTCTACAGAGAGACTTTTCTTACACTGGATTACAATTAGAATTTACAAGTTGATTTTTGTGTYGGGAGGAAAACTGTAAAAAAAATCTCAAAGCACAGGAGAGAGCAAACAACTCTACTCACATACGATACCAAGCCTGGGAATCGAACCCTGGTTGCCTGGATGAGGTTTCATATGGTCACTCTCAATAGCTCTCAGCACTATAATATATATAGTGCTGAGAGCTATTGAGAGTGACCATATGAAACCTCATCCAGGCAACCAGGGTTCGATTCCCAGGCTCGGGAATAATATGCCACCTTTGCTTCGGATTATTTTCTAATACTGCACCAACCAGTTTGTCTTTACTATAATTTAGAATTACTCACCCTCTTGTGCTAGTTATGGGTTAAATTTAGTGTAAACATTAAAATCCTCAGATTTCTGGACCAATCTGTTTTTCTGCCATCCTCACAGAATCCAGGGGTAAAATTCTGTCTCTCATTTCTTTCTGGTAGGGAGAAACGACCCACAGAATTTTACCCCTGGGTTCTGCGAGGATGGCAGAAAAACAATAAAGTGATGTAGGATATAAACATACTAATATCGATTTTCAGAAATTGATGATAGACGCAGTATGTTGAGTGTAATGATATTAATAACATATTTAATAACAAATTAATAATATAATATAACACTAAATCTAACCCAGGCTGTATCCCTAAACCTAACGATTACTTGAAAGAGGACATTTTAACTGAGCACAATATTATAGTAAATACGTGGAGATAAGTCTTCATATGGTTCAATGGTTCATATATCAAGATGGTAACGGCCATTATTCCCCCAACCAGACTAAATCAACATTTCTAAATTCAAAACTGGATAAATTAATAAAAAGTAAAACCCAAAACATTTACTGGACATACACCACTTCTCAGTTATTCCATTTTTCATTTATTCATTTCTATTTGTGATTATCAAACCTTCAATTTCTGTTCTAATATTAGTATTACTTCTGTGTTGCAGGGACCCACCAGCCTCACTCATATCCACCGTCAGCAACATAAACACCACAAACAACAGTTAAGAGGTCTGCCCATCTGTTGATTTTTCCTCATCTTCCATTGTTTCCTCCCTCCCCTCCCCAACCTGAATTTGCTGCTACCAGAAGTGTGCATACTTCTGTTGCTGCCTCGTCCAAAGGAGCTTACTACCAACTGCAAGATGAATTTGGCCTTCACTTTTAATGTTATGAGGAGAAAATAATGATAAAGCTAATAAAATGTGCTTGTTCTTTTAGACCAGTCTCTTAATGCACAGTTTAAAAAATTTGAGAGATGCACAGTAACCTGTGAAGTCATATATGTGATGTTGCAAAGAAGACACTTAAGAATGCAGAGCAATCCTTCCCCTCTTTTTTCTTTGCAACACTGCAGTATGCAGAGCAATGCTTTCCTCTCTTCTTTTCAACGCCCCAGACCACTGAGCTAGGCAGCCTACATGGAACTGAAGAGATCAGTTGTAGCTTGTCCCATTTCCTGCATCCACTAAATTTTCAAGCTTCATTTCCCCCCACACTTTTTCTTACTATATTATAGCTTTATTTATGCTATATTCTTTTTTCATACTATACCTAATTTTTGAGCTTTAAGAATTACATTTTGAAAAATATTACCAGTTTTTTAAAAATAATTAATATTTATTTTTACATTTTAAAATAAAAATTATTTAAACCCTAATCTTTAACCTCCAAAACCTTACAAATTTTCATATACCGGTACATGTTTTTACAAACTCTTATGATACTTCTATTGCTGATTTTCGTTTTTTTCTTAGAATTATTATACCATTTTAAATAAGAATCATTGTTAGTTTTCATGTATATCCCCAATATCCCTTTATCTATTTACAGAACTAGAATAGTTTCTGTACCATATGGTAGACGTAGTTGTGGATGTGAAAGTATTGCATTAACATTTTTTTTTAATTATTTAAGAATTTTTAAGAATTAATCTTCGAGGTGCTTAATTTTTTGTTTCTTAAAGTAGCCCTTATATTTAAATAAGAAATTTTTTTTAGTTTCATTCATGTTGCTGGTAGAATGCTTCCCAACTGTTCAAATGTGTTTGACCTCTGATATGATTGAGAATGTTAGATACGACAAGTAGAGGACCAGAAGATAAATACCATACGATCTGGTGATTCTGAATCCCATCAGAGGAATAACGATAGCTGAGGAGGCCAGGCTTAACATGAGAAAACCTGATGAGATGATATACTGGTGGTAGCGATGAGGGAGCTAGAACGAGAAACGATATGTAGCACAGTGTTAGATGTTGAGTGGTGTGACGGAGAAGATTTGCATGTTTTGGTTATTGCTTGCAATCACTCTTACTATRTGGTCAACTCCTAAGTGGTGAAAGTATTTGCACACATCACCACACTACACAAATTGAGGCATTATGATACTTTGGATTGCAAATTTCTCTTAGCTTACAGATGATGTCCGCACCATGTCAATCACTTACCACAACACTGTGACCCTGTCGAGCTGAGACTATAGTACAAGCGAGTCCAATACCCAAGAGGAGATCTTGATAAAATATTAAGGATTATTGATGATATAAATTTGGTGGAATTCTCGTTAGAGGAAGAGGACATCTCACCAACCAGGGTGGAGAGAAATGAGATAAACATGTCAGTTTAAATTATACAGAATGAGATCCCTTCACATGTGCACCCCTCACGGATCATTTTTGATCAATAAGTTTATCATCCCAATACACCAGTTTCGCATTCAAAACATACCACTGTTTTGGAAGATCACATGATTATTTGCATAGCTAGTACAGGGGCAGATCCAGGGGAGGGGTGTGCACCCCTCCCTGGTTACACTTTGTGCTCCTACTTCGAAGATAACCAATTTTGTTTTTTGCCTTTGATTCTAAGGGGTGCACCCCTCCCTGGGTTAACATTGTGCGCAGCACCCCTCCCTGAACAAAATCCTGGATCTGCCCCTGTATTTTGCACATGCTTTGCATAACACTTGCAAATGATTTGCTCTTAAACAAGTCTAAGCCTATGTAGATGAGTCTTTCGTCATAAAATTAACACCGTAGTATTTATCAAATAATGAAAGCAACTATTGAATGTTGGGGGTTAAGGATACTAAGCATTGGTCCCCCAAAGCATGCAGACGCTGCCATATTTGGATATCCTTGTCTAGCCATTGCTGTATTGGAAACCAGATCTAAAATGAARAAAGAATTATTAGGATTAGAATTTTTAGAATTCATTATAGGTCTCCATATATTTAGCCCGGAGGGGGTACTCCGCCAGAATTTAGGTAGTGGTGTTCCGCTGGGATTCTGAAAGGGCTACTCTGTTTATGACAAAAAAACCAAATTTGTAGACCCTGTTCATGACAAAAGATATAATTAATTGCAATGAGTTCCCGTTTCAATTATCATGTCATCTCGCATTTTGTTTTTTTACGACCATAATAACCAGTAGAAACCCTGAATATGACAGGAAACTCGGGAAGAACTTTGAACTTGAGTGAAATTGCATACCCTGTTTATGACAAGAAGCTCGAAAAACCATACCCTGTTCAGCAGATCATCCCCGTATAGGCCATGTATGGGAGTACCCCCCCCCCCCCGGATATTTAGATTGTTGTTTTGAATATTTTATGCCTACTAGGCAGTATTTGCTGATGGGAGAATTTTCTGGGCATCGAAATTAGCCTGTGTCATCCAGACAATACCCTGGTAATCAAATTACACAGGCTAACCAAAATGGGCTTGGTCTATATCAACAACATGAGAAAACTATTTGTCACTCCTTGCAGTTCTCACCTCCAATGCTGTTACCCCAAGCCAGAAATGTTAATCCAAGAATAGCATCAAATGGAAAACTACACCAAAGGTCTGCCGTGAAATATTAGAAGAATAAWGAATTAATCCATTTTTTTGTTCGTATGTTTATTTATTAAGTCTGTCAATCAGTCGGTCATTAAATTGACATACCTGGAGTAAATTAACTATTTCATTGGCACTGACATAAATCCAGATAACAGCTACGATAAAAGCCAAGTATGCAAACACCTAAATAGCAAAATGTAGGCAGGAATTAATGATCAAATAAACAACCATGCCCCACTCCCCTGCAATGGTCCCTTCCTTATCAAAATATAGGAAGCCCAAAACCTTGCCATAAAGCCCTGTGATTGCTAATCACCACCACGAAGTACATACAGCAATGGCACAGCTCAATGGAGTTGAAATGAAAGCATGTGATGGTGCCTCTGGCAGCTACTATGCAGTCCATGTATGACCCCGGAGCACAGCTCTAACCAGTTTGAATTGGAAACAAAGCAGACACCTGACACCCTGTTGACTTGGTTAGTATCAGATTGTTGTGCAGGAGGTCGTGGATTCAACTATTAGCCAGACCAACACTCTTAAAATATACAAGTGGTTAGAGAAGTGGCTGGCATGGTCACAAAAATGGCAGTCGTATCTCCCCACACTTTATCATTACTAAGCAATATTGGAGGTAGGTAAAAGAACCATTGATTATGTGACGATCATACCCTCAACATCTATTATTAACTCACCCAATGAAACCTTGGTGGTTGGTTATTTGACGTCAGTATAGCAACAGCAAGTGCAAGCAAGACTGCTATGGATAATGTTAATGCCCATACTGGAAAATGACTGGCCAATGTCTTTGTACCAACTGCACAAGGAAAAATAAATGTAAATCTTAATGAGTGCATTTTTATAAAATTATGTTGCTTTAGTCAATAAGTAGGAAAGGACATTTAAATTGACCAGGATGTAATAAAGCTGGGGTGGGGCAATGGAGACGGCAGAGGGTCAGGGGTCACCTTTTGCCAATATCCACTAAATTTCATCACRGCCTTCCATTAACTTTTAGTCTTATTCCCCTCCACTATTGAGGGTACTTGGCAGTCATTACAGGTCAAAATGATGTTACATTCCAATATTTTGAAATTACCTAACCTGGGTACCAGAATCCTGCGAGGGGTCATGATCCCCAACCCCTCATGGTACCCAGGTAGAAAATACCTGGCTGCAATCTGTTTAACCAATTAAAACAACTGGTAAAAATCTCTCCAATCAGATTGCATGAAAAATAATCTACAACTTGTAACTGACTAATATACTCCATTTTATGTTATATACTGAAACGTTACCTTTTATTGCCATGACAACAAATACCGGTCCTGTTATGCAATGGATGACATTAAGCCATTTGTGGTCTGGTTCAGCGTAATCTATAGTAGGCACTGTTATGTTCAATAGAAATACCACTGGTGCCTGAAATTACAAATGAACGAAAAGCAATAATGATTCATCATCACGATCAACACCAATCATTACTAACTAAAGCGTAATATTCTGATAAACATGAATAGAAGAACTAGTCGAAGTAATGCTAAATACAGTCAACTCTCGTTACAGCGGACACCCTTGGGACCGTCACATCATGTCCGTAATAGCGAGTGTCCATAATAGCGAAAAATTATTACGTTCATTTTTTTGTCAATATTTTTGTCGGGGATTTTTCTCCTGTCCGTAATAGCAAGGTGTCCGTAATATCAGGGTGTCCGCAAGGCGAGAGTTGACTTTGTGTAATCCACAGGTTTATGTATGTAAACCATTCTATTTACTTGCCTTAAACACCATGAATATTTTACCAAAAAAGCCACTTTGCTCCCAGTCAGAGCAAGTAAAGGGTAGTATGCCATGTAATAGCTTCCTTCCTGGCGGCAAGTTGTGGTGAAGAGTGTGTATTGGTCTTATTAATGGCGTTTTCTCATCTGGAAACAAATAAGAATCAAATACCTATTATTAAAACAATCAGAAGAGAATACAATAGAGTAGAAAGGATATACTTTTGGTAACCAATGGATATTATATAATATAACTGTACTTATCTTTTGTAATTCAAATGGATAGATAGGTGGGTGCATGGATGGAATATATATATATATATATATAGATTACTGATTGGATTGGTGGAGATGAATGGATGGGCGTAGGTGGAGGGATGGATGGGGAATGGAGGGATGGATGGGTGTATGGATGGGTGGGTGGATGGATGGATGGATGGATGGGTTGATAGATGGATGGATGGATCATTGGATGGATGGATGCTAGATAGATCAGACCTTGTTGATAGGAGTCTGGTATTGAAGAACTTGAGGTTCCCAAAACAGATGAAATAACTCTAACTGCTTCGACATCCTCATTGACATTATTGGCTCTCTCTGTAGAAACAATGATTTATTTTAATTTAACACAGCAGTACTTTAAAAATGAATGATCATAAAACAATGATAAACATATAATTACAAACAAAGAATGGCAGAAAAGGAATGTTGTTGCAATCAGCAAGTAGTAATAAAAGCAGTGGTATAACCTCCTCTGCAGATTTTTTTAAAATTTGGACACCCTGTGCATCAAGCTTTATTGAGCTAATGAGGGGGGAGGGGAGGATGAGGAAAGTGACCAGACAATAATCATATCCATAGGAATCCCAATCAAAAACAAAGAATTCCAAATAGAGTTACCAATAAAGGAGGCTATAATCATATATGCTTCATAGTTTCTCACAGTCACAAAAAATCCACAAAGACTCCACCCTAAACAATTACAGGAATAAATACCTGGTCTTTTCTTTCTCTTCCAGTACTGGTACAGGTAACGACCCACTATCACCACTATCACGTAAACGACATACAGAATAATCAAACCTGGAAAAGAAGAGTTTTGGGGGTACATAAAAAAACAATAAAGAAAGTTAATTGTATACTTAGCTGTAACACAATCATAGCTTGTGACGTAGTAAGTTGTCTGATTAATCAGTGATTGATTGACGGTTGTTTTTGTGTTTTGGCGGCGTTATTTTACATTTTACCTATAGATTCAAGCATGCTGAGTCGTTGGTTGTGTAAGGCAATCACCATCCATCCAACAGCAGCAATGTAGAACAAAACATCCCTGGTGAATGGCCGATTTGTGACCGCAAAACCATTGGGAGTACACAGAGAAATACAGCCCACCACGACAGTTGTCACAAATACGCCAGCACCTGGTGAAAAAAAGCCACAACATTGACTTTGATCATCCCTGCAGAGATTGTTTCAGGGTTCAATCTGTGAATTAGGCGTTCCCTAGGTAACTGACTGTGCCCTGATTATGATCAGCCAAGTGGTTGTTTCAGGGTTCAATCTGGGAGTTAGCCAAGCCCTGACTTAGATCAGCCCAGAGGTTGTTTCAGGGTTTTGAAAACTCTGCTATCAGATCCCTTTTCATAGTTCCTTATAGCCAATTAACAAGATTATCTTTCAAATCTCAAAAGAGTTTAATATTTCAATAAGAAAAAGAACTAGAAGAGGAAGAAGAGGAATATAGTGGCTGCCAGATGTGCCTTCGCGATTGCTTTCAGTTTGACCGCCTGCAGAGCTGCACCACTCCTGCACTTGCAGTGGTGATTTGCGATAACGAGTTATTTTATACAAACAATATTTGAATATAAAGAAATAACTAACCAAAGAGTGCCTGTATTCCAAGTTCTGCAGCACTATTTTCTTTATCTGAGTGGGTAAAGGCAGCAATCGCACTAAAAATGTCTGGAGCTCCGTTACCATAAGCCAAGAATGTAACACCCTTGATATCAGTTAAGTCAACCACTGCATACTAGTATAGAGAACCTAGCTAATATATTTTTAATTTTTATTTTTAAGTAGTAAAACATAGTTGAGCATAGTTCTGTATTGCAAAAAAAAAAATGGCTTGACCAACCCTAAAGTAGAGGGTCTTATGAAAACTGTAAAGGTCATCTACGTAGCGTACCTTTGATCTAAAACTATCTGTTCATGACCTCAGCTAGCTCTCTTCAGCTCAATATCAAGCATCCCCCACTCTAGAAATAAATTTGTAAGCTGTTGCTGTTTTTGTTTTCATTTTTATTGCTTGTGAAATGTCTAGTGTATCTATATGGATGGGTAAAAGATGGGTTAAAGGTCAAAGGATACAGCCACATTTTGGCTCATCTTCAAAGTTTTAGCGATAACAGCAAGTGATGGACAAAAACTGAAATAGAAGAAAAGGGGAATGAAAACATTATTCATATGAAAACATTATTCATATGAAAACATTATTCATATGAAAACATTATTCATATGACTAACTAACTGACTGACTGGCTAACTGAAAGATAAATGGATGGAGAGATGGATGGATGGATGGATGGAAGAATGGATGGAGAGATGGATGGATGGATGGAAGAATGGACGAAAGGATAGATTGCTGGACTGATGGATGCCATGGAGTTACTAACTGATCATGACTGACTGACTGACAACTGTCTGACCAACTTACTAACCAATTAACTAAAAACGGATGGAGAAACTAAAATGACCGACTGACTGAATGGCAAAATATAAAGCATATCATTTAAATAAAATAAATTAAATAAATCACTTTTATGTAAGTGTCTAGTCGTTCTGGCGCTTTCACACTAATTAGGGACACTTTTCACTCATATGCACTACCACTATGTTTAATATTCTATGCACACAACGCTCAGCTCACATGTTGAATTTTACGGAGGGAGGAAACTGGAGAACCTGGAGAAAACCCTCGTAGCATAGGAGAGAACAACACATCAAACAAACCCAATTCGAATGTGATGAACACAGGGCTCGAACCAGCGACCTGACCTGTTGGACTCACAGCGGTGAAAGATGACGCATTAGCCACGATCGCCACCCATGCTACCCATTCTTTTAATTCTCAGATGCAGATCATTTATCTTAAATTTTCAATTATATTAACGATATACTTACTAATCATCTGCAGTGACGCCAAGAACAATGAATAAATATATTAACCAAATGGCCTACAAAAAAATAGAAAATGAAAACCAAATTGTGAAAAATTAATTTTATTAGCTCCCAAGAACCTCTTTGCAACACACGTACATTATACATGTATAGGAGTTTTACTCCTGATATACTAGGCCTATATCCAGCTGAGCTGTGAACGCGGCACGCAAAGCATTATTGGACAAAATGACAGGCCATAAGCTTAAAAGAATGAAGCAAACATGGCAGTAAAGTGAAATCGTTTTTATTCTTCCTTTCCATATTTCTGCTTTTTGTAGGCAATATATTTATATTTTAAACAGAAAAATATGCAAAAGTTGGATTACAGTAGCTTGGGAAAAAGGGCCAGAGGCAAAACAGCTAAAATTAAAAGCACTGTGATTGGCTAAAACAAAATTCGCCACTCAGCTGGAGCGTATGATATGAGAAAAAAAGTATCACAAGGATTTCCGTATAAATCAAGGGACTGGTCATAAAGTAAAGGGGGGGTGAGGGTAAAAACAGAGGGTGGGTCACACAATTTTGTTCTTCTTAAAAGGGGTGGGCTGTCTATACAGCTGTATATTACTGGTGGGTCATTTTTTATTTACTGCATAGAAACTTAGAGGGGGTCATCATATTATTTTCAACCTCATTTTTAAATTGGGCCAGCAAAAAAAGAGCTCCTTCAAATCCAGTATTACTCCCAACCCACCCCACCCCCCCTTACTTTATGACCAGTCATTAACTAATTAAACTTACCAAAATAAAAAATGCAAAGTTACGAGGCAATATACAGTAAGGGAGATAAAGATACTGAAAAAATCCTTCATCTAGTTGACAGTCTGGTGTTGTTTTGACATAGTGGCATATCAATGAGCTGTTGTACGTGGAGATCACATGAGAGCACTGCAAAAAATCACAATCAAAGCATCTTCCTAACCAGCTCTTATTAATATTGGGCCCAGGGCATGGGTTATAATACTCCCATCAATCTTAAATAAAAAGGTATATTTATCTCTTGTCTACACAAATAAAAAAATAAGGATGACAATAACAGCTGTAATGAGAATGGTTGTTTTAGTAATGAAGTTTCACTTGGAGACTAATTACTTCCCTAGTGGGTCCATTGGATACATGCATATTCACTGCGAGCAGAGTCTTTCTTGTTAATGGCTCATGATAATGACAAATAGATGCTGGTCAATGGATATCAAATGAGACTCATCCCTCCTGGCCTGGCAACACATGACGTATCCCTATCACTTGCCAGGATATAGTCTAATGTCTATATTCATATTATGTGGAAACATGTTGCTAATATGTTTTGTTTGGCCTTTTCTTGTAATATTAGACTGATTTTTTAAATTAGTAATACTGTCAATAACATTTGACTTGAGAAACAGATAATTTTGTTGCCATTTGTTTGTCAACTGTTTCCTCTCCGTCAAGCAATTCATTTTTTTATAATGATTTTCGTTAAATTTCAATTCCTCCTCCCCCTACCCCTACCCCTACCCCCAACGGGACTTAAAGTGACAAAGGAGCAGGAAATTTAACAAACAAATAAATGAAAGCCGAAGCCAGAATTTACCTCGGTAGCATTAGACTTCGGCTTGGATGTCAAGTATTCTGTGTCATTAAGCTGATGAAGAATCCCTCTAGATCGCCAACAAGAAGAACTGAGCCTTTTAGTTTCGATTAAATCATCCTTGGGAAGCAAACGAAGTGTCTCTCGCAAAGAAATCAAAACAATAACAAGCAGCACTGTTTTGAAGTTGAATATAGAACCATTCAACATGTTGTTAAATACGAATTTTTAAAATCTAAGAATTACATTAAAAACTGGCTTAAAAGACTTTGAAATTATTGGTTAAAATGCAGTGATTTGGTTCGTACAGCTTCGATTCAAGAGGTTTGGTTAAGACCACCTCTACAGACCCTGGACGAAGATTCAATATCTGGACACCACAGGAAGCCCAATATTTGTTTTGAATCACACGCCTGTCAGAACATCCCAAAAGAAAGTTTTCTTTGCAATGTTCTGACCGTGAGACTTTGACTGGTAGCTATATTCACCCCTTACACTGTATTTTTTAAGTGGATATAATTCTGAGGTTTTACAGTCTTATTTAAGAGGGGTAATCATGGGCTCCCTGTGTCTGATACTCTCCCCAGGCTTAAAAATACGTCATTGCCAGGCTGCTTAGTTTCGCGCCAAATTTTTCAAAATACAAAACGCAAAAACAAACCTTGGGAAAAAATTACTTCTTAACCCTTTTTTTGCTTCTTTACATAGGCAAACGGACCAGAAAATGGTGAGGATTCAATTAAACTTTATTAATTTTAGCAATACTATTCTTTTGAATCCCCTTTATAAGACATTTTTGCGACTTTTCAAACGTTTCAGTCGAAGAAGAGAGGCTTGAGTTTCGAGGAAAAAAGACAAAGACTACAACAGCTGTTTTTCGAGAAGGTGAGTTTGTTGAAAGATAGGGTACAATCATTAGAATGATAATAACAACTTTATTGGACAGGGTACACCGTTACCAGACTGATAATTTACAGGTGGTCCTAATAATACTGTTAAATTATTCATAAGAAAATAGAAAAAAAGAGGCATATGGGAAATATGTAAATAATCTTCTAAGCCAAACCCAATCTTCCCAATGCGCCTCTCAAAACATGTTGTGGTCTATAAAAACGTTAATTCCTTTTTCTTTGTTTTCAACAGAAAGACTTTTTCCAACTCAAGGAACTAGAAAAAATAGCCCCCAAAGAAAAAGGAATAAGTAATTGAAAATCATTTTTTATTTAGGGGGAGGGGGGCAATGGCAGAGCCAGGATTTTAAAAAAGGGTTTCCAAAATTGCTGCCACAGAAAAAGCTGGTGCAATCAGCTTCACAAAGAGGGTTGCAATTTCATGCTACTGAGCATAAAGAACATGTCTTCACAAGATTTCGCACAAACTGGGGTTCCATAGAACCTACATATGGAACCACCCCTGGATCTGCCACTGGGAGGGGCGGAGTGTGTGGTTAGTGTTACTAAAGAAATAGACAATGGAGAAAATGGAAATCCAGGGGGTCTTTTCAAAACTGACAACTGTCAAGAGAAAATTCTTGGGATGAGAGAAAAATGCAGTACAAAATGTGGAATTCTCCACCAGTTAGAACAATGACACTACAATTTATCTAATACTTTGGCAGAGGAATAAGTCTTTTAATGTTTCCAATCATCAGCCTCAATGTCTGTAAAAGAAGTGCTTCAGAGCTTGGTTGATGACAATCTTGTGGACACAGAGAAAATTGGAACATCAGTTTACTTTTGGTCTTACCCAAGCAAAGCCATGCATACAGTATGTTTTCTAGTCTACTTATATTCATGTTCTCTGCCATTTTTTATATAAATTTGCTGTGTGGATTAAAAATCCTGAAATGGGCCTAACTCTTGTTTCTTTCAACAGAGAAAACGAAAAATTGAAGATCTTACTGTAGCTATTGCTGATTATGAACAAAAAGTTGCAAGCGCTGAGAAGAAAATAAAACAAGCCAGCATGGAGAGAAAAGACACAGTAAGCTTTTGTTAACAGAGAATTTCTTGGCTTTAATCTTGGGTTGCTTATTAAGGCCAAGGGTCATATAAGCTATAAAAAGTTAAAATGAGTATCCATATTCATGTATCATCTCATGCGCAATTGTTAAGCAAAGAAATGATACTCTAGGGAATGACATGTGGTCTGAAATGGGAAAATACTATGCCCAAGGTCACAATATTGATTTGTTTACTTCATACTTCAAGGATGAAAGAGACAAGTTGCTTCAGACATTGGCTGAAAAGGAAAAGGAATGCCGAGAAATGGAACAAGACCTACAGAGATACAAAGAGTGCGATCCAGAAGTTCTTGAGGGGCTAAAGAATGAAACCAACATGGCAAAAGAAGCAGTCTCAAGATGGACAGATAACATATTCTCTGTCAAATACTGGTGCAAGTCAAAGTTCAGTATTGAAGAGAAAGAAATAGATAAGGTGTTTGGGATCCCTGAAGATTTTGATTATGTTGATTTATAGGTTCTTTTTGTACTTCAGAAAGGCAATTGTTGCTTATTAAAATCATCTGCCACTCAAATAATGTCAGGAGAACATGAAAACAACACGATAATTAGGTAAATAACTGTTAACATTAGACAAACAAAGGCATCCAATCATGTTAGTTCTTTTATTTGTGATGAACTAATTTTCTTAACAATTTTAAGTAGCTTTAAAACCCTATAAACGTTTTTGTAGACTTTCCTAATCTCCGTAACCTGTAGTATTCTGCTTCTTCCCTGGTCTGTGACATGGAACTTCTTCTCGGATGCAAGTTAAGTTTGTTTAAATTGTCCTCAAAGAACTGTGGAGCAGGAGCTGTTATTACCAGGTCCTTTCCTGAATTAAGCCCAGGTAGAGTAAGCTCTCTGGCGTGTAGGTGCAGAGGTATCATTCCTCGTTGCCATGGTCTGATTATGCCTCCCTTTTCTTTATCGTTGGTGCTTCTTACACCTCGGATTTGAAGAAGCTGGAGAAGCCGTAATGGTAGAACCTAGAACAACATAACGTTAAAGAATTTATCAGTGTCAGTAAGAAAATTACTATAAATAAAAATGTTTTATCTCAAGCTGGGTAATCATTGATGAGCATCTTTAGCCAAAGGCTAATGTTTAATAGGTTTGCAATGCTCTAACGGTCAGTGCCATAACTAAAATTTGTATTTACAGTACACAAATTTTATTGCTTTAGGTCCAGTTTTGATCAAATGCACTTACTCATATAATAGGAGGTTCTTTTATAGTGCATTTCACAGTTGTTTCAATGCGCTTTACATTAAATGACTAGTGGAGGACTTTACCGGCTGCATATTAAGGCACTCTTAGCAACTGTGCAGCTTACAATCATAAGTGAATTGTTATCACATTACATAGTGTTATGACTCCAAATTGCTATTGAAACAGGAAACAATACCCTTCTCTTACTTGAATAATTCAACAGGTTCTTTTATATTCCCCATTTTACTGCAGRTTAGGAAGGGTTGRGAGACAGGGCCTACGGTTTTAAGTCCTTGTCTGAGAAGACTTTAAGGTCTAACCATTTACAGATGTAATTACAAAGAAAGCTCCTCATTTTTTTTAAACCCTAAGTGTTGGTCCAGCTGAGTAATGAACCACCACCTCCCGCACAACAGAGAAATGCTTTTACCAACTGAGCTAACCGGGTGGTGAGAGTCTCGCCATCTGCCACGTGTACCCTATTACAGTTTTAGCTACCTTGGTTTATATTAGATACCCCTTTACCTACCTGAGGTTGTGGCTGCTCAGAGGAAAACTTGTGATCTCCAAGAATAGGACATCTTAAACCGTCTGCCATGTGTACCCTTATCTGCTGTTTATGACCAGTAACAGGATCAATTTCTAATAATGAACAAGTCTTCTGATTTGTGTCCAGAACTTTGAATTTAGTTATGGCATCATTGAATCCTGCTTGATTGATCTCCTGAAAGAAGGAAATTTAGTATCAATTGGTTAATCGGTGGCAGACTACTGTCAAATGAATCGTTAGAATATGGCTCCCATGTTTCTTTACTCAGGATTCAATTGATCGGCAGTGAGGAAAACATTGCGTGACAGACACTATGAATTTCCACATTATGCTATGCCTTGATCAGCACAACAATAAAATAGTGGCACAGTATGATAATCTTCATGAAGTACATACATGCAAGGATTTTCCAACAAGATCCCTCCTCAGAACTATACGACTCCAGGGACCAACTTTACCATATCCAACKGGTATACTAATCTTGCCTTCTTCATACTTGGGCACCCCAATTGTGATTGCCCAGTATTTTTTAATCACTTTTTTCCTGTGAAACATTTCGGCTACTCTTTTTGCCGTTTGACTATTTCTGGAGAAAGAAATGTAAATATAAGAAACATTGAGGATCAAGGTTCCATAAAGGCCAATTTAGATGATACAATTTTCTCCTACAACTATCATATACAATACGCTCGCGTCTGTCGTAAGTGAGTTGTAGGTTTGATTGACGCGCTACGACTTGAGTTGTAGGATGGTATGAGCATGTTGTATACGATAGTTGTAGGCGAAAATCTTACCATCTAAACCGGCCTTAACAGGGGTAAATGAGCAGTTTCGTACAGAATGGAAAATGAAAAAGGAATAGATTGAAGAATGGAAGAGACAAAATTGAGATGACAATGAAATGTCAATGTGTTAGATGGAAATGAAAGAGAGCAAGTAGGACTGAACACACAAGTAAACAGATAAAGATTAATTTGAAAAGGAAAGAGGAAGAGTGGAAGAGAGAAGGCAAATGACTGAATATATTCTTACCTAGTTAAAAGCAGAACTCCTGTGCAGTCCCTGGGAATATTTTAATATCAAAGTTGAGTATATTTTTTTATTATGCAACCATTAAAGATGAAAAATGACTCACTTGTCAAGTCGGTGAGCAAGCTCAGGTTTACGGCCCAGATCTTTTATAGTTGCAAATTCGTCAAGAAAGTTGGAAATACTTTTAGGTATCCCTGGACCATCTGCAAAATAGACAGCATTCAAGTAATATAAATTTTGCACCATCATGTGCCCACACCCATAATTCAGGTTGGGCTGTCTGTGGTTAGAAGGCTGAACAATAAAATCCCTTTGCTCTTGGGAATTGAATTCTTTCTCATGTAAAACAATTGTAATTTGTCACTGCTATCTGACATGGCTGCCAGCACGTGATAATGCAAAACCTCTGAAGACCCTTTCATCTATAGACAATTCATTGTTTCCTCTGTATCCATATTCMTGTATCTTATGCACATGACTGTTAAACAAAGAAATGATACTCAAGAGAATGACATGTGGTCAGCAACATCAGGAGTGATAACTCACCATGCACAGCGATCCCATAAGGTTTGTTTAATGCCACTAGGTCTCCTGTAACACAAAAAAAGTAATTTCTGATCTTATCTCTAGAAATTGTTCTTCAAACTATTAAACTCCAAAACCCGATAGTCAGATTTTGGAAAATCTTCAGCTTGTTCAATCGCATTTTTTTTTTTTGCAATTCTCGACAATAAACTATCGAACCCCTTATACTCACTATTGATGAATAAAATATTATCAGCCAAATACTGAGCATCTATAATAGTATTTAGAACACGCTTTGCGGTTCTTGCTCCAGCCGCCATCTTGAAAATAAATTATCTTACTGGGCTTCCTGTGTAATATCACAGGGAACCCAATTTTTTATTTAAAAATATAAGCTCTAGAAAATTGTTGGACGAAAATAATCCGAAAAATAATACCCTTTCGTTGGCTCATATAATTTAGCAATTATTTTAAGACTCACTAGTAAGCTTGATATTTTCAATCAAAAGTATATTTTAATTTATAATTTTTTATTTAAATTGGGCTCCCTGTGGTAATACTCAGTTGCAAAATTTCAAGATGGCGAAAAGTCTTCGATCAAAAAGAAAGCGAAAAATGCGCCGAGAAAGGAGAGAAAAGTTCAAGGTTAAAGAAACGCAGAGGTTACTTGAAACTCTAGGAGTCAATGAAGCAGGAAAAGGAGAAGCTATGACTCTTGCGCTTGAAGAGAAGGATTCACAAAACGATATAAAAGATCATCAAAACACTGTTGAGCACGTGGAAGTCGAACCAACAGAAAAAACAAGTGAGTGTTCTGAGTATTTACTGTGTATATATAGAGAAGACTGTTTCAAGATGTTTTTTTAAAGGGCGGATTCGATTATTTGTGCACTATATTGCGCCTAGTTTGCAATAAGGATAGAAATGAGTGTTTATACTATTAGTTTATGTTTTAAAACTCACACTCCAACATTGTGTATATTATATAATCTGTATAATATATATATTACGACCATCACTCCCTGTAAAGGACTCTTTTGTAAGGTTTGCTCCACACACTACAACTAAATTCATTATTTACAACACGCAACTCATTTGTTGATTTTTACGGAGCGAGAAAATCCAGAGAACCCGGAGAAAAACCCTTGTAGCAAGGAGAGAACAACACATCAAACAAACTCAGCTCACGTGGCTCAGCCTGAAATGGAACCTGTGAACCTACACAGCAGTGAAACAGCTTATTTAACACACACACTCCACACACAAACAATAATAATAATAATAAATGTCTTTATTTACTGCCACTACAGTAGTCCCAATGCATCTGGATACCTCCAGCCAAGCCCACCAGGCTTCGAACCTGGGTCACGTTGGTGAGAGGCTGAGCAGAGCACACCACCTGTGCTTCCCTCAAATGGTTTGATGGTTTAGATTATACATATGCATAGTGTATGATTTTTGCTAATTTTATTACCATTTTGGAAACTTTTCAGGTGATGTTGAAATGGACCAAGATAAAACACAACAAAATAATACTAAAAGCAGCAAAAAAGTAGATAAGAAACAGTTATTAAAACGTCTGGGCAAAAAGAGACATTTCAAGAAATCTAACAAGATGATGAAGTGGTGACACCTTTGGCCATTAAAAATTTCACATTTAAAATTGGTTAATATTTTTATTCTCTTGGTTTGGTATCCTTACAATTTACTAGTTATATAATTTGGAGTATTCGTCCAACTTTGACTTGGAGAAATTATTACTTATATTTCCACTGGAGCAAATTTGGGGAAAGATTTATTGGTCTTTGCTTGGTCAGCTTCTAGAGCAACCCTCCATTCGTGTATAGAGGAGTCTTAAGGAAGCCATGTCATAGCTCTGAAACAATAACTACTGTAAATGCTTTCACATAAAGAGAGATTTGATTTTTCAAAATAAAACCTCATTTGTTTTTCATTACAACATGGCTGCTATGGAATCTTTATTGCTGGTAAATGAGCTTTCAACATAGTTTATTCCTTTAAGTCATATGTTAAATTTCTATGTCTTTCTAACGTGTTGATAGTCATGTATCGAGAGAATTTGATGTAAATTTGACGAAACCACACAAACTGACTTTCATGGGCAGCCATGGCTCTCTGTTTAAAGAAAATAATGATGAAAATATAATTAAATGGTGATAAAAGTACTGAAACATTTCAATAAATTCAGAGTCAATAGGTATTGATTTGTCAAGTATTGTTTGATATATAATAGCTGGCACTTGTTAATTTTGCTTTGCTGATTCCAAATACAGTTGTTCCTCTATTAAGTGTACACCTTCAGAGTTTTGTCTGGTGTCCGTGTAACAAGAGGTGGCAGCTGAATAGAGATTCATTTCATAGAGGAAGAAAATTCCAGGATTAATTAATGGCGTCTGCTCAATGAGAGATCTGTTTAATAGGAATATCACTGTAGTGAGCTAGAAAATGGCTATACCCACTACCTTTGACTTTAAACCTCTCACATTACTAATATAGTAATGATAATAAATGAAATATTTAATAAATTCCACATCGTCTCCCGTGGATGAGCTATAGATATATTCTTGAACTACTCTTAGAGTGCTCACACTAAATCCGTGAAACAAATACTAATTTTTAGCACTAAATAGTGATAATTAAACAATAGAAAACAAAGGATTCTGCATGAAATAGTACTAATTAGTACTAGTTAATGTTCACGGTTTTAGTGCATGCACTCTACTGTACAAAAACAAAACTACATACCTGAGCTAATTTGAAATCTTTTACTGAAGATAAGAAGACATACCTGGTAAAAAAAGTCAACCAATCATAAAAATACTTTTTTCAGAAATACAAATAGACTGCAAACCACATATCCCTGCAATAGGACAAAAACTAAATAGCACTAAACACATCTATTTCTTTCATTTCCAACACTGCTTCATTTATGCTATTTTGTACTATTTAGTACTATTTAGTTGGTACTATTTCATGGATATATGGTATRGCCTCTACTGTTCCTCATCAACCCTTAATCCAAAATAAGACACTTGTCTTTAGGGTCTACACATACCTTGCAGACAAGCTATTTGCCAAGTCAAAAAATAAAATATACTTCCTAAATATGAAAACACTTTCAAGCACAAAGACTGGGATGGTCTTGGAGTCACTGTACACGTCTGTATTGTCCTCTGATATATTAACAGCATTATAAAGTGCTAYGTGGTTTGGATGACCAGATACACCATAATCATCAAAGGTTATAACCTGAAGTGTGAAAAGAAAACCTTCATTACGTGTTTAGTAGCCAAAAACGAGATTTTATTTGCATTATATTTTCAAAGGGTCACCCAATAAGAAGAAATACTTACTGTGTCAATATTATGATTTCTGCAGTGAGATTTTATCTCTTTCCTGACTAGGTGAGTATCCCATGACCCTCCATCTTGTAATTCTCTAAAATTGAATAACACTTTGCTAACTGAGACCTCTGGAAATTTGATGCATTGATTGATAGCTAGTTTTCTGGGTATAATGGTACCCAAGGGAAATTGCAAGAGATTGGGGTAGGGGGGGGGAGGGGTTGAAGAAGGTCTACAAACTAAGAATTCCTTACCCCTGCCTTTCCCCTTGTCCTTATCCTTGAATAAACTTACTTATTATCCAGTATTGTTATGTTGCTTTTAGGTATTCCAAGAATAGCACAGCTGGCCAGAAGCTCTTTTTTCCTTATTTCACCAAGATTATAATAATTTCCTGGGATAATAATTGAATCAAGACTTCAACCAAMTCACCAATGGTAACATCAAGTCATTGGCTAATAAACTAACATGACTGGCTTTTAAATATGGGGAATCAATAGTGGTGAAGAGGTAGTACACTGAGCTTTAACCTATGGGGTCTCTGGTTCAATTCCTGGACTCATCATCACAGKTGAGTATGGTAAGTTTAATTCCTGGTTGTGCTTTAGCAAAACCTAATATACTAAATTACAATTTGATATGTGAGTTACTGCATTTCAAAAACATGTGAACTCTGTGTCTCCGAGTTGCACGCTGAAATTTGATTTTTCACTGTCGTCAATCAAACCTAATCAATTGTTACCTTTCATATTTTTGAYTGGCGGCAGCAAAAARCCAAATTTCAGTGTGCAACTCAGAGACWCAGAGTTCACTTGTCTATAAAAATTGCAGTAATACCCCTGCCCTGACTTTGATCAGTTTAGAGGTTGTTTTATAGTATAGSTAGTTTTATCTTTCCTTTAGGCCATATAGATAAATACTTATACTTGATATATACTCATAGGGTTTAGGTAAGATTTCCTATAGGGGTTACCTCCCACTAGCCTCAACAAAATATCCCTCTCCACCCCTCCCAAATTATACATGCATTTCCTTATATCTAAGAGAGGGAAAATGGGTGACCACATCATAATGTTACACCCTTCTGGATTATACAAAGAGTTTGTCTTTTACACCTTGCTTGATATAAAGCATCACCAAGGGTGTGGTCCTGGCTGGGAAGAAGCGTAGGTTGCTGGTGCAATTAAGAGTACAGATACTAAAAGCCTGCAACCTAAATAGTACTAAATAGTGCCAAATTATTCTAATTCTATTGTTTTTTTATTGTCTAATTAGTGATAAATAGTGCAACGTGTTTAGTGTTTTTACTGTAAAGTATCCCTAAGGGACTGCTGGGAATAATTTAACTTCCCTGACATCTTCAAATATTCTTCGCTTTTTTTTAATTTTTCCTATTTACCTGTAGAAATGCATAACAAATAAACTTGTGCACAACGTGCAAGCTGCAAAATACTGGGGGCAAARAACATGCACTCGTCATCTGGATGCGCAGTCAAAATTAGCACATTTTTTCCRTCGAACTCCTTCTTATCCTCATTCCTCCAGTACTGGTAATAAAATAAAGCAATTATAAAGGGGCATGAAGCCGTAAATGAGAGAATTACAAACCAAAACATTAAATTGTCCACCATTTTGAATTCGAATTGCCTGGTTGCTAAGTCAAGGTTTTGGAGGTCGAGAGAGCCTGGTGACTAATCACGTTTTTTTGAAAAAATTTTTTTTTCAGTGATTAAAAGTGCACAGTACAAGTCCAGTCACGTTACAAAATAAGATCAATATTCTTTTTTGATCAAAAAGGACGTGATATCGTGAGAATCACTGCTTAAGKGATGTCGAGTCAAATTCCAGTCGTATTTCTTCCTTCTGGCATCTCGAGAATAAGTCCKGACGGTTTTGAGTCCAGAGATCCTCAGGTGGATCGAGAGGTYTTATTGTATAGAGAGAGAGATCAAAATGCGGCTAAGTCTTTGAAGCTGAATGAAAAAATCCCAAGACTGAACTCCAGCACGGCAATGGAAATGCTGGATAAGTCTGAGGACTTCTTACAGGATATGGCTATTGATGAGGTGGAGAAAATGAGTGATTGTGAGGAAAGTCCGCAAGAAACTTCGTCAAGACCAAACTCGACGGAGCCGAGTACTGCTAACGCCAAGACACTAAAAACCTATCAGTCCCATGTCCGTGTCTTCAAAGGTATGGTCCTCTTATTCAAGCAAAACTTTARTTTATATCTTATATAACATTTGCGTTTTCTTAACTACGCTGATTTAGTTAGTTTACTTTTGTAATTATGGATTTCAAAACCCCTCTTTTTGACTGGCTGTCGTCAGATCATTAACCTCCATTGTTGTCCTACGTTTATATTATTAAACAGTAACGCTGCTCCGTTATTGAACAGCCAGCTCATATCAGTAATGATAATACACAGTACTGATATAATCATAAAAATAACTTTATTAACTTCATATAGACCGGTAAAAAAACTTTTTAGGTTTCGCAAGGAGTTGGCTCTTTTTGGTTTTTCCCACACGCTAGCATTTGATTTGGTGTGCCATACTCGCCAACACACATATACTTCAAGTAAAAATTACATTAAGAAGCGACTATCTTTAACATATATTTTAATATTCAATCCTCAAATTCTATTATACGACCAGCTATTCTGATTATTTATAGCGAAACGATTCTTTTTGCTTATTACAAGAAAAAGAGTATAAATGAATAGCATTTTAAACTCAATAGTGTGATCATTCACAAAATTATTAATGAGGTTAACTCAGTACTTTTCTTTAAATGCTACCTTAACAGGTCCCTATTCACATATATCACTGATTGCCCAGTTAAAATCGTTTTAAATTATATCATTAACGATGACTTCAAAGAAAGTTAGTATAATTTCGTTTGGGATATTGAATATGGTGGACATACTTCGTAAAAACCGGATTTTTTGTCTGATATAGATGAAATTTTGCATTTGTTTATGAGCTGAATATATTTTACCACGAGTTACGATACGTTAAACCACCAATAGTTTTCGTTTTAATTGCAGGTTATAATATCGTAACCGACTGGGGTAGCGGGTGGTTCTTTAACGTGTTTTAAATAACTCCTGACACTAAGTCCATTTAAGAAGCATCTTGAACTGGTACAGCAGAATAAAAGCTTCTACTTGTTCTGCTCCGTGAATGAAACGGTCGTTTGCAAAACGCGCAAGCAAAAAGTTGCTGACTATATGTTTTTTTTTTCGGGCTAAAACATCAATAATATCACTGGCTAAAATATTGATTTATGAACAATTCATGCCTTTTTTTATTTCAGTAGTGGAAAGTGGCATTATTAAACTTAGAAAGACCAACCGAAATTTATATATTTTTTATATTGCCAATAAATGAAAACACTGCATATTTGCGAATGCGCGGTAGCTCTTCTTAGCGCAAACGCGTCAAACAGTTTGGCGAGTTTATATATACTTACAGGCATATCAGAATAGATATACATCGTCAATCCGTCTCAAACCGAACTACTAAATCACTCTCATATACTGTAATTTAAATATGCAAATATTATAACATTTCCCATTGAACAATATGGGTATAAACAAGAAATTTTTCTCTTGGTATATACCGTGAATATATGAAAAGGGTTTTGCGTACTAAGTACAGTTCAATGTGGCGCTTTAGTAGCTAGTGGTCAGCCACGATTTAAAGTTGGGAAAGACCGAATATTTTTAATATTCAGAACTGAGGGGTAGTGGTTTGAAAATAAAACCAAGTGTCACAGTTTAATTGGTAAAGAGCCGCCAATATAGACCGTTTACAATCACATATAAGTATAGAGTTTTACCATGAGAATATGAACTAAGAGAAGGAATCCTACCTATATAGCCTTGTAACCATAATGTTTGATGCTATTTTTAGCTTGGAGATATTTTGAGCGAAGAACCTGATTGGTTGATTTCTTGAGGGTAGATGGCCTCCAGTCTTGCAGTTAACAAAAGCCTGTGTTTTTGTCGTGGACGTAGCGAAATATGGCGCTTTTCGTGTCCTAAAACGAGGCATTAAAGGGAAGCATGATTATCGCTCGGGCATGGTAACGAGTTACAAATAGCATCARTGATTCTAAAAATAGCATCAAAGTGTGCACACGATGGGGCACGGGGATTCCTTCTCTTAGTTCATTTTCTCTTGGTTTTACACTAATTAGACATTTTAGAGTACAGTACGAGTAGATACTTTTGCCTCGCCCTAGACTCGAAAAAAATATCCACCCGTACTGCACCCTAAGATGTCCAATTAATAAGATATATTTACTTTTAAGCTTTAAATACTTTTCACTGTGATTTTTAGATTGGTTAAAATCAGAGGGACTGCCGACAGACTTCGAGTACTGCAGTGCAGAGGAGTTGAGCTCATGGTTGAAGAAATTCTATAGGGATGGTAAACGAAAAGACGGCCATCAATGGAAACCAAGCTCACTAAAAATCTTCCGTTTTGCTATCAACCAGCACCTGAACAGCCAATCAATCAACCGTTCTATCAGCATCACACGAGATAAGCAGTTTAAAGACGCAAACAAGGTCATTTCAGATCGCCAAAAAGAATTGATTCAACTCGGAGAAGATGCCACTGGTAGCAGAGAGAGCAAAGATAATGCAAGAGCGTTGACTTGTGAAGACATTCGACAACTCTTTGACAAGGGAGTTATCGGCATTACCAGCCCTAAAGCACTCCACAGATATGTATTCATGATACTAGGGATTAACTTTGGGATAACATCACGGCTTGCTTTGCATCTGTTGAAACCTAGTATGCTGTATTTTGATCGAGATGAGAATTCGAGCCTTCTTTATGTTTACTACGATCCGAAACGAGACAGTATTGGGGCTGACAAGAAGTTATCCAGGCCAAAGAAAAAGATTTATGGAATACCTGGTAACCCACTATGTCCAGTAACTGCCCTCAAACTCTTCATCCAGAAGAGAAACCCTGAGTGCATAGAAGGGTTTTTTCAAACTCCAAATCGTCATTATAAGGAGACTGGCGTGTGGTATACTCCACAAGCGACTGGGAAAAACACCCTTGGACGACTGATGAAGGATATTGCTATCGATGGCAAGTTGTCGTTCATGTACACCAACCACTGCCTTCGCTACACTCCTCCCTACGTGTTTACCCCTCCTGACCCTAATACTCTCTCATCCAGAGTTGGTAATGGAGTTTCCTCTTCTCTAAATGCGATTCAAAGAGAACTTCGACCAATGGGCAGTGAGTCAAGACCTTTACAAATTCGTCCTACCGTGTCAGTAAACAACACAGATTATGGCACCAAGCAGGTTGTGGCCGCGTCTGGTATGCACTTCAATGGTGCTGATAGAAAAAGTTGCATTAATAGTGTGCCGACGATTAGTTACACAGGGGGCAACATGCCTCTGTTGTACCCCCCTGTACTACGCAGTAGAGTGACCCCCCTGACAAATGCATCAGAAGAGGACGCTTCATTAAGAGACAGAGATTCCAAGCCCTCGTTGTCACTGAAAGCTGTTCAGCAAGTACAAGACAACAACCCAAAAATGAATGAACAATTCAAATCAATGAAAACACATAATGTACTTTGTGTATCACGACAATGGGAAATGGATGAAATTATAAATGCTATCAACGCTGGTGATGCCATTTTGCTATCAAGACACGACGTCACGGGCTCAAAGAAATACCCTTCCAGGCTCACCGACACTGAACCAATGAAGCAGAAAGGCAAAAGTAATGGCCAATCAGCATACGAGTCACGTGAGAGGTTTCTTTCTTATCTCAAGTCAGCAGATTCAGTTCCCAAACACGAGGACTATATTGAGGATCGTTCGAATGGCGCGCCATCTTTACATCTTAAGCCTGAGACATCCAAGTTGTCCTCGCGCTCAAGTCGCAAGCAGGTAGTTTTGTAACTTAGTTGTTCTCTTGTGGTCTAAAGGCATTTATGAATTCAGGGATAAAGCTATGGTTTCCTTTTTATTTGGGTCTTTGGTTTCCCAAATGTTTTGGGTCCCAAGATTTCTTATGAGTCCCAAGATTTCTCATGGGTCCCAAGATATTGGCTATTGTGCATACTGATTCACGCATACATGTAATGATGTTATGACATTATTTCAGTTGGAACCAAAGAGAATCCGACCAGACGAGATGGGAACACATGGTGACAGCAATTTTCAGGTACGGCAGACATTGGTATTGTTGTTTATGGGGTGGGAAATGGTGTTGTTGTTGTTGTTG